AATGATTTCAGAAGCTGGATTCATCTCTGACCAATGGCAAAGCTGCTTAAAAAAAGTTGAGCATCCATTCTGACCCGCGAAACTGTGAAAGTAAGGTTGAGGGAACAATAAACCCAAGTTCTTTGTAAGATTCTTTTGTTTGTTAACCACAAAAAAAAGATAAGAAAACCTAACCCATAAACTGAACTGGAAACAGGGGAAATAAAAGATAAAAATTTGGTTAAAGATCCTTTCCATCCACCTAGATACAATACCAGTGGCTGCACAAACCATTGTATTTTAATGTTCTAACAGGAAGCGTCACAGAAAAGCATAGGAAGGCATTCTTTCTTAATTACATGATCAATCAAATGTTTACGAAGTCTGAAAGTTATCATCTGTGGCAGTATAGGTTTTGGCTCTCTTTGCACACACATGCTGTATTTATTGCTTTTTTGCAAATATGCCTTAACACATGCCTATTCCCTCCCTCTTACTGTCCACTTTTCCTAAGTTATAGCCTTAAGTGAGTTACAACTACAGAAGCTAAGAAACTGTTTTGGAGAGACAAGATAAGGATCAGAAATCTTCATTCCCAAGTACTGGTGTCCTTGTTTCACACTGAAAAAAGTGAAGCCAGAAGGAGGACCTGTATCCCTGTGCAAGACAAAAGCCTCTTTATTTTCCATAGAGCTGGTAGGAGTTCTTGGAAGTATTTCCTAAGTGCACAGAAAAGGTTAGAAGGCAATAACCACTTTTTCCAAGAAGAAAGGTTTCAAAAAAACCCCAAAGAAACAAATCCATTAATATTAGCTTAAAACTACTTAGAAAAGTAACAGGCTACCATTGAATTTTGGGATGCAGTATTCGGTTTGGTTCCATACTTCTGATGGGACTTCCAGCTCTCACATCCATCCCACAGAGATGAACTAAGTTTCACATAAAAGTTAAGCTCAAGATCAAAAGGTAACTCATGCCGTGAGGTTTCCAGTCACTTTGTATTTAACAGAAGACTCGGGATGGCAAAGGCCTTTCTTTACTTGACCATTACTGCCTCACCTTCAACAGAATGAGAGGGATCCATTTTCATGACAAACCGAAGTAACATCTCTATGCAGTATTGTCCATAAAGTCTTAAGGTAACGGCATGCTATGAAGAGGAAGGCAAATACTCCCATTCCTAGAGGTACAGAAAAATACTTCATCGTAAAAGCATACCAAAGATAAAAGCATACCAGAACAGGCCTTTCCACATCAATAATGGAAAACTTACTTTGAAAGTACTTGCCTTGTTAGAAAATCACTACAAGAAAGAACATTTTTACTAAGATTCCCTGCCCCGTACTGAATATCAATCCATTGTAATGATAATCTGAGGGGAAACAAAAGCCAAACTGTAAAAAGCTACACTTGAACCTCTGAAAAGGATTGAATGGAGGTAAGACCTACTTGCTGGCAAAACAGAGTATTGTGCAGTCCATAGGAAGCAACAGCATTAGAAAAAAAATCCATAATTAGTATTACCTTAGTTTTGACACAAAAGCTTTCTTCTCTCTGCCTGTACCACAAGTAGAAATTTATTTAAAAACTTGCAATTTTTTGTACTGGTTACTATGTCTGTGCTTCCCCCCCCAGTTTTACAGGAAAAAGAAACTGGATACAAGGTTAGCGTATTTTGAAGGGCCAGCAAACTTTTTTGTATTTCCTAAATCACAGAATCAATTGCATAAATTAATGCTATATGCTGCCAGCTGACTATTTAGAAGAAAATACATGTATATTTTCAGATCAGAAAAAATTCTCTCAGCAACGATCTTATTAATATTACTATCAATTTAAAAAAAAGATATTGTCACTACTTCTTTGTGAGCCCTGTAATTATTTTAACACATTTTAATCCATTATTTTGTCGTCATGTTTTAGACTGCCTAGAGATATTGTGCTCTCATATTATTTTTCTCATTTTCTTGGCAACAAAAGAGTGCAACTTATTCAGATATTTAGGAAACAATACATTTATTAGGTTTTTTTTTATAGCAAGATTTTCACTGTCTGCCTCAAGAACACTGCTAGAAAGGTATGTCAATCAACAATATTCTGAAAATTTTGTCTCCCTGACAAATGGGAATACTACCAAGCAGTGGAAAAAAAATGATTTGTGAGCTGACAGGCTTGTATCTTCTCTGTATCTGGTGGACTGCAGCGAAGCCCTTCTTTGGAAACTTGAAGCATCATAGCTCCCACAACTGGGAAGTAAAAACCCCACCCTAATACATTAAGAAAGAAGAGAAATCAAGCCAGGATGGGATAGATGGATGTCAGGAGAGGTTCTGGACTAGCATAAACATGCACACAGCCGCTGCACCTCGGGACACTGGTTGGAACAGCTTTCGGGATGCCAACTCTTTGCCTTACGAATGCCCTCTGTCTGCCACAGAATGGCCCACCACCTGTTAAAGCTCCATTTCTAAAACAGACTCCTCTTGCCTGATCCATCAGGTTAGTCACAGGGCTCCCAACTGGGAGATAGTTTTGGGTTGATGCTCGAAGACCACCTCGTTTTATTTCACATGCTAGACCCAATGAAGATAATTGCAATTAAGGAGTGGGTTAAAAAATCCCAAACATTAATGTATCCACCAAGTCTTTCTGACAGCTTTTTAACAGATGATAGCAAGGTTGGAAACTCTGATCTGGATGCTTGACTCTGCCACCTGTCCTACCCGGTTCCTCTGATGCAGCAATGTCTATCTGGTGTTAGGGAAGATGCTCTTTGGAGCAAAATACTTCAAATAGGTCAGCTGCACACCACTGTCGCCAAGTGATTATCTAAAAGGGAGAGAGGGGGAAGGAATTTTGAGACTTCATCCTCAACTTTCCTAAGCAAAAGAGGTGGCAGAACAACTCAGCTTTTGCCTGCTGCAAATCTGACATAAACTTTACAGTTTTGGTCGCCTCTCAGAGAGTTTAGTGGGCTGCCTACACAGTGAACAGCCCATCCAGCTTCAGCAGGTAGTGTAGCATCGTTAAGGCTAGCCCTGGAGTGTTCAGTGGGGAAGGCAGCAAAAAGGGATTCTGCCATTAAACACGTTCCATGGGATGTGCTAAACAGGAAATGCATGACTTCTCTACACTAAAACATCAGGTAATCATTTGAAAAAAAAAGGGTGCACTTGATTAATGGCAAAGAGCTGATTTTAGCTCTCGGGCAAAATTTAAAATCCTTAAGTACAGTACTTCCCCACACAGGCTGGTTTTTAACATCAGGCTACACGCATCTAAAAACACACGGGTTCTCCGTGCTGAGAGCTGTGAGAAAATATTCAGCTGTGCTGCTTCACAACAGGACTGGACTGCCCTAGCAGGTTGAGCACTGCATTGGCAGCACTGTCACATCCGTTCTTTGCAACCAAACGGTCAGCAGATTAGCAAAACAAGCACAGATCTGTACAAGAAGAGTGAACAGACGTGCTGGACCTTGGGATAAAGGAGACTACCCCTATACACGCAGATAAAGGCCACATCCCATATTTATAATGCTGAAACTGGGGAAGAGCGAAGCTCTCGTTAAAGCCAGTAAGATATACCAGCAGAGACACAGACAGTCTCACTTACAGAGAACCGTGAGCATAGGCACACCCTAGTTATGTGACCTCCTCCTTCAGGACAGGGGTCTGTTCTTGCTCCAGAGTTAGGATTTTGTACATATTTGAACAAGAATTAAGTTTTACATGCCTACAGTGCCTTTCATGCAAAGATCTCAAAGGACTTTATACCTATTACATATGTCCCGACCCCTCCCCCTGTGAGGTAGGTATTATTCCTATTATTTACAGATGGGGAAATTCAGGCACAGAGGTTACATTATTTGCCCAAGATCACACAGTGAGTCAGTGACAAACCAAAACAGAATCCAGATGTTCTGATTCCCGTTTGCACAATCCAACTATTAACAAGCCTCAGCTTCAAAAGAGCCTTAAACAAGTATCAGTGTGCATAAGAACAGTCTTGGGTTTCAAGCTCCACTCCTAAAAGAGTATCAAAAAAGGACAAAAAACAGGAAGGGAAAAAAACCAAACCAAACAAAAAAAAAAAAAATGAGGGGACACATAACTTCTACAGCCAACAAAGCTTCAAAGAAAAATTTCTACTAATTCCCTTCCCGAAGCAGAGGCAGCTTGACTATAAGCCTGAGATACAGGGGATGGGAAAAGGAGGCTGATGGAATCAAAGTTTGAAACAAAAAAGCAAGCTAGAGTAAGCAGCCATACCATAAGTCTTCACCTTTTTGAAAGCACAGGGTCATAGAAAAATAGGGCTGAGAGGGACCTCATGAGATCATTGAAGTCCATCCAACCCGCCTCAAAGCCAGGATCAACTACATCTACTTGTTCCCAACAGTCGAGTCAGTCTGTTCTCAGAGATATGCCCTTCCTCTGCAATCTGTTCTGCCTTGCACTATCATGTGAGCAGAAGAGGACAAGCGAGTCTAAGATAGCTACTTCTGCTCCTTTGGTGGGGGTACCACGATTCCCAGGCCTATCTAATGATCTGAATACATTTCAGAGAAGGTAGTCTCCAGATATTTACTTGTTTCTGTCCTGGATTCCTTGGGGAAACATCAAACACTGCTGTCTGCTGTCGTGTAATACGTGAGTTTTGAAAATACTGATTAGTACCAGGATAGATACCAATATACTTACTGCATGTGCCAAATCCTACAAGGTCAGTAACAAAGACTTTGATATGATAATTTTAGCTCATTAAAGATTCAAACTGCAATAATAGGGCAGGGAAGACTACAGAAAAACCCCACAGCAAAAGTCAGCAGCTCAGAGTTGCCAAGTTTCATCCAACTGCAGACAAAAATCAGGCAGTCGAAAGACAACATGTCTTCGGCAGAGGCAGCACCATATGATCTCTGTAGCATCCCTCCATCTCATCTGTCTTCAAAGTGCATTCTCAGTGCAAAAAGTAGGACTGAATTTAGAGGGGCTCAACTATCCCCAGGGGATTTCATACTAAGACCAGAATTCTTGCTTGAGTTCATATGCTGCAGCTTTGTGTGTGTTAAGTTCACTTCTGCATAGCGGAACGGTGCTGTCCTGGCTCTGCCCCTCAGCATCTATGTCCAACAGTGTCCGCTCCTCTACAGGAAGACCCACCTGGAAAGGAAGGAGTGCAGGCAGCGCAGGTCTCTCTTCTACAGTGCTGCTGCTACTGGCAAAACATGAGTCCAGATTGCTCGGAGTATCAGTACTTGAACTGTTGGCAGAAGATTCACCCTTGGCGTTGCTGGGTGACACAAACCACCAGGGATCAAGCCGCTGCCGACTGGCTGCAGGACGTGGCCGAGGCAGGAACTCCAGTGTCTTGGGTCTTTCCAGTGTGGGGTCCTGCTGCTGTGCATTCCACCGTCTCGGGGTTGGAGGAAAAACAAGGTTGGGGTCTGGCAGGCGAGGGACCTCATTGGGATCTCTACTTGGACTAGGTGTTTTTAATACGCCTATCCAAAACAAAGAACGTAAGAGAAGAGGGAAACACGTTAGATGTCACTGCTAAATGGTTCCAACATAGTTTATGGGACGTACACTGTGAAAATATTTTAAAAGCAGAAAGCCTCCATTCAATCTACAAATTCCATATCTTCAAGAAATGAGTAACTGCCTTCTTTATCCCTCCACTGCTCTTGACACATTGCAAGACACCTGTTTCACTGACCTAACACAGGAAGCAAGTTTTGTTCATTCTCTCATTTGCCTTCTTTAATTTTCAGATTGCAGAGCAGTGATTTGACCTCCTACCAGAGGTGAGGACTCTCCAAATCATTCGGAGGGCACATTATTCATTAACAGCCTGAATGGGTCAGGGAGACATAGGCACAGCAGGATGTGCCATCTGTTTGCAGCGAGCAGGACCAACTTCCTGGAAGAGCCATTTACCATTTAGTGCGGATGCTTCCTGGTTTCTTTTCATTTAGGAGTGGAGGATGGCATTTGGTTGGATGGCGTTTTTCGTTCGGTTTGGTTTTTGGTTTTGTGTTGTTTTTGTTTTTTTACAAGCAGTCTAACTTTTAAATTTTTCCTCAGAATTACTAAGGCAAGAAAATAGGAAAAGCACTTTTTAACTTATCAAGTCACAGCCACTCCTAAAGACTGCAACAGTGAAAACACTGCCTACCCAGGAAGAACTCTCTTGCTTGCAAAGGAGTAAGAGCAACAGTGGCATAGCCTCAAGCTGCTTTACAGATCCAGCTTTCACTGCATTAAAGACTGGAATTTACTCTGAAACTGTAACAGCTATACAAGCAACTGTATAAAGGCAGTGGAGATGAAATCCCGAGGAACTGCTAAAATGTTTGTACTTTGGTACCACCACTGTTTAAGACACAATACTATGCTCTGCCTCAAAGCACAGGGCAGCAGAGAGAGTTCCTTAGTGCAGAGATGTTGGAATAGAACCCGTCCCCGCATTATTCTGTTCATTATTAGTGTACAGGCAGCATCCATAAGCTCTTCTTGTGGGCTGGCCATCACGATGGATGTTGTACAAGCAACGTTTACTTCCTAAGAAGTAATAACACCATTTGGGTCTTTATGCTGAAGAGGAAAAAGGAAGAGGGCTGGAAACCTACCTGCTCCTAGTGCTCCAGTTAAACAGCTACTGGAAGGGCATCCACTGGTTGGGCACCCATTGACAACTAGTCCGCTCCCTTTGATGGCCCCATCAGAAGGCGTGCGTCTGTGCCCACTTGGCTGGGTGTGAGAAGAAACTGTCACGTGTGTGGGAGTTAGGGACTGGTTGGGGTCTTGCTTGAACCTCTCGATCTGGACATTGACTAGTGGGTTGGTAATGGCTGGCAAGGGAGCCTTGACTGTCACCGGGCTGATGGGCATCTCATACACCACAATCTCATCGCTGTCCGAGCGCAGCAGGGATCGGGTAGAATTACATTCGGAAATGGAAGACAGGGAAAGAAGGGTGAGGGATGTGGATGGCTCGCCTAGCAGCAACATGGGATCGTCTTTCTTGAAGATCTTTCGGGAAGGTGGACTAGTGCTCCTGCGTGGGCGTCCAGCTCGCTGGAAAATGCTGTCCCGCTTCTTCTTCTCTTCCTTGGGTGCCTCTGGCTCCTCCTCAATTAGCAGCTGACACTTCCCTGCTTCTAAAAGATCAAAACCCAGGCCTGCAGCAGCCAGAACTGCTCCACAGCCAAGCAACGCAACCTCACATCGCTTATGGTGAGAGCCACTACGCTTGAGGCTGTTGGTGGGTGTCAGCTGTGGGGTACTGGTAGCAGAGTTCACAGGGGTGGACTCCTCATTGGCATCACTAGAAGGGCCATCCCAGTCTTCGTTCTTCTGAAATGGGATGCAGAGGTATGACTGATTGTGCCCAGGGGAAGGGTGCACTTTGCCCTCCCCATTCAGACATTCGCTGTCCTCGTCATCTGGAAAGCAAATGTAAACAGACTTTGCACGGATGTAACGTTTTCATTGGCAAATCTGTCTTACAGATATACATGAAAACAAGCTTCTCCTCAGAAGGTGCAACTGTCCTTATCATGCACATCATTCATCAGCTGCCAAATACTCACAGGCTATTGTCTCCAAGGCAGACAGGCTGAGACAAGTAGCTAGAAGCGCTATCAAAGCGGAAGAAATTAGTGACACATTAATCTACTTGGGATTAATTGCAGAATAGCATTTCAGAAGCAATCTACACCTCAGTTACCTCTAGAGAAAATTTATATGTTTGAGAGTGAGAAGCAAAAGGTAGGAAAATTATAAGGATCTCTCCTTGCAAGTGAAGGTGTAACCATGCTGCGTATGTAAATGTCATTAACAGGAGAGGAGCGGAGAGGCAGCACAGAGTGAGAGGGGAATTAAGTAAAGCTTTTTACCTTGACAGATAAGAAGCACAAGCAGTGAGATAAAGAAAAGAAAATCCAGAAGGACAGAGTAGTTACTTCACAAAGCATAAAAATGGATACCACAAAAATGAAAATACTGCTGCAAGGTACCAGATCAAAGTCAGAAAAGGAGAGGTTCATTTAAACGTGAATGGAAGCGAGGATGAGAATATAAAGTCCAGCAAATTCCTTTACCCATCTCTGCTAAGCTGGTGAATCCTGGAAAAGCAGGCGCAGTTCTCTGGATCTTCCCAAGGTTCGGTGCACTGGATGACCACTGCTTGTATCCTTCTACCAGAGCTTTCAGACTGAAAGAGTAGAGAGATGGGAGAAAATGTACCTGCTTGCAAATAATTTTCCCTCCTTCTATATTCTCTGTTGCTCTAATTAGGGTATGCATGTATCCATCTTAATTACATAGATCTGAAGTCCTCCCATAGCAAGACATTTTGCAGCATCTTTAGAGTACCTTAAAGTACAAAAATGGTGTGGAAGTCCCTCCCTCATTTGTTACACCATGGCAGTCAAAAGACCTCTGCTGATAACCACTAGCTACGAATGCAGAATAATAGAAAGCACCACTACAAAAAATAAGATGAAGCATCTTTTTAAACCAAGGTAAACCTACCATGGCAGATAAAAAAAAAATAAAGTTCTCAGCAGGAGCAAAATATCTCCAAAACCATTTCCATGTGAAATATAAATGAACATTGGAAGTCAAAGATGACTCACTGGGACAATAATATGCTAAAGTGATTGTAACAACAAAGTTATACCTCAGTATTTCTTCTCTAAAAGATAACACTGCATTGAAGTAGATACAGTTAAAAGCATTAAGCTCTAGGTTATGGAAAAATAGGGAACTAAAATGTATAGAACTACAGAAGTTCTCTCTCATGACTCTTATTTTCTACCAGAATCACTCCGCTGGAGTAATGGAAGATGGCTTCCACTGCAGGACTTCAACGTTTCATTGTATCAGGTGTTTGGTTTTTTTTCCTTGGTAAGGATTTTTCCTCTATTGCCTACCTAACCAGGATGCCCTACTTGTCACCAAACTATTTTGCTAGAGCAAGGCCACAATGTCTAACCTTGATTCAGGTGGTTGATGACTGGGCTACAGGCATTATGCTAACAATATCGTGTGCAGTTCTCAGCTGTCTTGGAAGTCCATCGTTTTCCTGCCATTCACCGTTCTGGCACATGGAGCACCCTGCTAGGAACTTAAATCCTGATTGCACAGTGCTGAGTCCTTCTTGTTAAGACAGACAGTCACATGAGATGCAATTCTGTGTAGGTCTGTTCCAATTTACTTCCTCCATACTACGCTCAGCTAAGTAACACAACCCACCAGATGTCATATCGAAATTATCCACGTGTACATGTTAGGATAAATATTATAAATAAAGCAGCACATTACGGAAAGGCTGGTAAGCGAAAACAAATCATGTTAGCAGTGTGATCACCTTCAAAAGTAAATGTCAAAGCTCTTACAATACGGGTAGACAACTATTGAGGAAGGGGAGTTTCCATGGAGCTAAGAAAACACATTCTCTGTTCTCTATATGCAGAGAAAGCAAAGTTATGATAGGCAGCAGTAATCTTCAGTTTAGCTTTCACTTTACAGTCATAGTTATCTAAAGGGTCTTGGAAATTGCCCTTCATTGTACAGCAGGACAAGTCAAAGTTTTCGTCCTTATGACTCCTCCAAGTAATCCTCTCTTGCAAAAAAACAGGCTGAAAATTTGCCGTTACTGACACAGCACAGCTCAGTCTGAACAGAAAGATAAATAGCTATCAGAATAATTTCAAGGCCTGCTATATTTGCCTCAAGGTTATGAAATCTTCGCCCTTTCCTTTTATTTTTCACTCCTTCTCTCTCTCTCTCTCTCTCTCCCTCAAACTACAAGCAGACCCCAAAGACCTGCACACCCTCTTAATCTGACAGTAGTATGCATTTGAAAACAATTCAAAATATGCTGACTTAAGAGTACATTCCTACTACAGTAGTATTATCTGTTACTATTCCAAGGAAAGAGCAACTGGAATGATTAGAAAGCACTAGCAGCAAAACTATTTCTGTCACCAGCACAAAGATTCAGGAACCTAAGAACTTCTTACCTGTAACCTACTTAGATTAAGTAACAAGAATGTTACTTACAACTCTGTTGTATTATTGTTGGGTTACTACTCTGTTGCCTTGTTCTATTTGGAAGCCAAAAGCACCTCTCTTAAGGAGTGATAAGGCGACAGGGCTTATTTGCTCAGCAAATTGCAAAAAACTTCCCTACAACTGTAGGATGGCATCTCCCAGTGTCTTAATATCATTCTGTAACACCGTGTGGAGGTCTTAATACAATACTGTCATGAATACAGAGTGTGTGTTCCCAGGCTCACCCCAATTATGCTTGAAAGACTTTAAGATATAATTACTAAAGGACTACGACTACTCCGCATCCAGTGTTGTCTTCTGTAAAATCAGTAACATCACCAGCATGAAAATTTAAACAGGGTAAATACCACCCATGCCATAATAGCAGTCAGAGGCTAATAAATACTAAGTTTAGAGACAATTAAGATTTCACCATACACCCTTTGAGAATATACCAGAAGATCACAGGGAGGTTGGACTAGATGATCTCTAAGGTCCCTTCCAGCCTAGGCCATTCTATGATCACAACTCAACTGTCACCATACTAGGCCAACATAAAGCTTCATCCAGCCTCTGCAATTCAGCACAGCAACCTTCTGCTGCTGTGCATACTCCTCCTGCTCAAAGACAAATGGTGAATAATCACTGTAAAAACATGAATAATCACTGTATAATCTTTTCAGTGCTGCCTTTACTTGATGTTTACATGCAAAGTGATAACAAAGATGAAGATTCAGGTTCCCTTGATCACAGTCACAAAAGGAGCTGGAATAGCAGCACTGCTGATATCCTAGTAGTGTTATGGAGAAAACCTGAACTGGACTTTTCTATCCCAAGTTTAGGTCTTTGCTTTACCCCAATTTTTATCCCCCTACTCTCTAAAATTAGAATTAAAACCCACTAAATATAGCAAGCACTCTACCTTTGGAGTCACTAACACTGCGACTCTGCTCCCTTTAAACTAAAGTCTGCAGGCTGGCATGATCTCAGCAAGAAGTGGTAGCTCAATGTATGTTGACCACACTGCCCTCTCGGCAACACTACCACATTTCAGATACTCTGCAAAATGCCGTAACTGCATTGAGCCTCCCTGGAAAAGGTGATGAATCCTTCAGAACATCTCAGCTGAAGAGAGAACAGGACAGTTCTGGGAGCAACCAAGGCTAGCGACTCCTTTCCAGCTGCCTGTGCCAAGAAGCAATTCAGTGCTTCAGGCTGTCCACCAAGGAACAGAAAACTGAAGAGCTTTATTCCCAGAATTCTAAGAACATGATTTCAGGGTAGACCTGTTTTTCTCCCAGCTTCAGTGATTTCCCAACCTTTTACATAATTAAGGACATGCTTTAATTCTGTAGAATTCTACGCTTCATACATAGAATAGGTCAAGCAGAGGCAGCAGTTGAAGTTCTGCCACGCTTCCCCATTAACGTGTCAAGAGAACGGTTAAGGGAGAACATAGCTCAGTGTCATTAGATCCAGACCCTCTTGCAGAGGACTGCAACAGTGGCACATTATGCAAACATCTATTTTCCAGGAATTTCACACCTGAGTACATAATAATAGAAGATAAATTATAACCTGTTACTTTATTTCTCCTGCTAAAAAGCATGGCAGGAAACAAACTAAGGGAAGAACCTTCAGGCTCGAGTGAAAATGACAAATCACTCAAACCTCTTAAAAGATCAAAACTCTCCTATGTTTAAAGGTATAAATAATTCACACGCACAAAGAAAGGAAGCCACAGAACAACAATCTGTAGAAATAGAGGTACAAGCTGCATCTCTGCAAAAATCACTTTCAGGATATATTCATTCAAGGAACGTGCCCTTTTGAAAAGTCTGAAGAGAAGATATTTGTCTGGCTCCACTAGATACTTTTTAAATAGTAGCATTTAAGACATGAAAAAGTACAGCTGAGAAATATAAAAGAGAAGTAGTTTCAGATATGAAACAAAACTACATTAAGTTGATTGTGAAAATAGAGAAAAATACCAGAGAAATGCTTTTGCACAGCTAAGTTCTGCTGCTTGCAAGGACAGACAATAAAGTAACAGCAAAATGAGTTTTGGTCAGTGCTGGACCTCTAGCAAGGGATTGAGAGCAACATAGT